GAGTGCTGTGATGTGCCCAGTGTGGGCACTCAGGGCACTCCAAGCCAGGACTGCTTTGCAAGTGGGGCACCCCCGAGAACTGTCTGTCCGGGGTGGGGGTCGGGACCCTTTAAGCACAGCCCTCGGCTAGCCTGAGACAGCATTTCCACGCTCTAAGTCCTCCTCTGATGCCCTGCCGGCACTGCTTCCGGCCATCCTTAAGCCTGGTTCAGGGTCCACTTAATGTGGACATGCTAGTTCGAATTAGCAAAATGCTAATTCGAACTAGTTTTTTAGTCTGGATCCGTTAGTTCGAATTAGCTTAGTTCGAATTAACTAATTCGAACTAAGTTAGTTCGAATTAATGTTGTAGTGTAGACGTACCCTCTGTATCTTAACTCTTCTTCTATAAAAATGAGAATAAGAATCATTGCCTACCTCACAATGTTGTGAAGGTAAAGCCCTGCATGATTATCATGTAAATACCTTCATAGATTGTAGTTCGTGTTGTTAATTGTGTCTGCTTTGCTTTTTGTACAATAGCTTCAAAAGTAACTCCTTCACTGGCTATTACTTTAGAAAACGAGAATATGCTAAAGCCAGTCTGATGCTTTGTGACATTTTAGGTGTGTTATATGCACAGAGTATGACCTTGTTTTCTTCATTTTCTTTTTGGCAGATGTGGTGCTACCTATGCACAGATAATGAAAACTGTTGGCATTCACCCTACCTGTGCTGAAGAAGTAATCAAGTTACATATCACGAAACGCTCTGGTTTGGAAGCAACGGTCACAAGTTGCTGAGGCTAAATACAATCCCTGGACAGAAGTTCAAAGCACATAGTGGAATTGAGAAGGAAAAAGAACATTTTAAACTGACACAGCTTTGGTAATTGTAGTCCTGCAGCTCAAGGTTTCTTAGGTATCAGTGAACAGCAAAAAGGAAATGTTACAATTCTAGACATACAGAACCTACCAAAAGAATAACTTATACACATCTTTACAAGGAATGCTGCGCTTAACCTTCAGGAAATAAGATTTATGTTAAAAAGTATCACATTGGAGTTCCTGTGTCCTTCGTCTTGCTGAGAGCTAGAGAAAATCATGTGTCTCCGGCCCTTCACTTGACATCTAATGCCATTTACAACTTAAACAGATGCCACTATGTTACAGGAACTGTGACCATCACACCACCAAACATCCCCACCCACTGCCAAATTAATCCCACTTGGATGCCATCTCTCAGAGAAATGCTTTGTCAAACCGAGGTGTTGCGCAGTATGCTCTCCAAGATGCCAGGCATTTGGAGCTATCTGACAGCATATTGTGTGACTTCCACAGCGAGGGTTTTCCCAAGAGAATGCCTTGCTACTGACTTCTCCCAGGAATTCACTCATGAGGAATGATGTCTGAATCGCACTGAACCGAACTAAGGTCCCTGATAGTGCATAGCAACATGGACAATCTTTCCTTCTCAGCTCTGACAAGACTACTCCGTACTGCTGATAATCACAAGAGTTCTAACTGAAGGCTCATTGACAAGGGACAGATACCAAAACATGTAGCAGTAGGTAAGCAGCCTTCCTTGTTTCAGGGAAATTTACCATATTGAGAAATTAGTAATAGAGGAAAATATAGAGAGTGACCATTAGAACTTTAATGCTATTGAGTGAGTTCACTGTTGGCATAAGACACAGTGTGTCACTGTGGAAGCTCAAAGAATTCATTTAACAATGAGGAAACTTTGCCATTTAAACACTCACAGAAAGTACTTGGGGTTAGTATTAACTTTCCTGCACATTTTTCAAACTGACAATTTCAGCTCAATCTGAATTGTCAGATCACAATGCTCCAATGCCAAACAGCAAACAGCATTGAACACACTGACATAGAACGCTGTGTGTGCTGACCACATAGCTCATATATTTGATGTTAATTGGAGTGTGGTTTATATGATCTGTTGATTTTTTAAATAGATTTACATTGACACCTGTAACTCTCAAAATTAACTGGGCTCTGAATTGCATTATATTAAAAAGAACACCAGAAAGAAAATGTACCTGTTCAGAACTACCATAAGTTGTCTGTCTGCAAATTATTCTCTCAATGTATTGCCCAAACTTCTTGTAGGAAGAAAGCACTCACCCTTCTGGGAGATACTACTTATTCGTATTGGCCAGAAGGGGGAGATCCCATCCAAGATGTGGCTATATAAAAACAAGATATCCAGTAGCAAAGCTGCTTTTGCCCAATAATGTTAAATAGGTAGCCTGACAAAGGCAAAACTAAAAACAACCCCTTAAAAACTCATTTCAAATAGCAATGTATTGTTTATATTGTATTTTGATAAGTGCAATCACATATTTACTCAGGAACCTTTAAAATAGTGCATGTGGGAAGTAGAGGGATTAATTAACATTATTTACAAAGACCAATAAAAATTAGTTTTTCATGCTGTATTTTAAACAGCATTTAACTAATTAGTTTTGATCATTTACTAGCCATCCTAGCCTTGCTAATTGCAACGTTCATAAGAATAGTTTGCTGGCTATTTATATCTTTAAAATGGACAGAATAAGAAAAAAATTAAGTCATTAAGTTACTGTTTCACCATGATTTATACTAAAGACAAGTGGTAGATTTAATTGAAATTTAAAATATATCTTGCCATCAAAATGATACACCACATACCACAGAAGCTAGTGGAAAAACTCTGAAGTTTCAGCAGATGTTATCAAAACAAATGTAATAGTACTTATCAGCATGCCATCAAGATGGTATTAAAATACATTCCGTTCAGGAATCTGACTTGAAAAGACAAAACAAACCCCCACAATCTATACTGGTTCTAACTACCTCATTTCCAAAGTTTGACACTGTAAATCAAATGTTACAAAAGTATTGTCTTGCTTCAGTGGGTAATAAACTCTAGCAGTGCAGAAAAAGTAAATAGATTTCCTTTTGGTATTCAAGAAACATAAGTAAAATCTCTATGTAGTAGGTTATAATATTTCTAAGTTGGTTTCACAAGGCTAGAATTTCAAGATACAGTTCACAACTACTGCTGTTTTCCTAAAAAAACAAAATACACATCAATTATGGATAAGTTGCTTTTGTGGCTCCTACCATTACATATTTTAGAATAGTATGTTCAAGCCAGGATTTGTATTGAGTACTCCATAAAAGAGAGGAGTGGCTCAATCAAATGGGGCTGCTTAATGAATACAGTATTCTGCATTTCTGATCACTTCTGTTGACTTATTTGATTAAGCACTAAGAACAAGTCTATGGACTTGCAGGTGAAAGAAAACATTTTGGGAACGGAAATATATTTGGTGTATTGCCTTTTTGTTGCTATTCCCTTCATAGAAAATGTCTTGAAAGTGTCATGTTGACACATGCATAGTCAAAAACTCCCTATCTCCTTTGGTAAGAAAGGACTTCCTTATGAAACATAATATAGGAGCCAAAACACCTCTGTACATTTTTGACCAATTAAAAAAAGCTTACCATAAAATTGAAATCCTTTCAAAATATTTTAGTTAATTTAAATGTTGAGTGTTTCAGAGCAAAACCTATTTGTTCTTCTTAGCTAGTGGGGTATATTATCGACTTCACCTAAAGCATTTCAGTCTATGGAAATCTGGCTAAGAGAAGCAGCCCTCAGTTGGTTATAAGGTATATGTGTGAGAATTTCTAATGATTCCTGCATTGTACCATGCCATTGCTCAGTTCCTTGGCAGGCATTTTTTAGGCACCCACTGGTTCAGCCATGGGTCATGTTGCTACTTTACTCAATCCTACCTGAGTAGTAATGCGCAATATTTACCTACAGAAAGCGTTCTAGGAGGTGAGATTATTTAATTTCTCTTCTATCATGAGACTTCCAGTGGACAAAAACAACTTGCTGTACTGCATCCAGTAAACAAATCTGGTGGGAAACTATCCAAGATTTTATGTGGGATGTGAAATTAATCAACATCATCACTGTCTAAAGTAGATATCTCATGTAGCCTTTTTTGTTTTCAAGAATTTATTTTCACTAGTTTAGAATCACAATATGGGCTTTTATATATTCCATGAAAATTGATGTTGCATCTTAAATTGCATCCTGGTGCTAGTTCTCATTGACTACATGGTGTTGTCCACTGAAGTAAATATTGGTGTATGTTCATAGCTACAAAATACTTATGTGTCAGAACCAAGAGCGAAGCAGAGTAACTGAAAACTATTTGGATTGGTATTATTTTCTTGGTGGATTCCTTGTGTGCTCTCCAGGGATAGCTTTTTGTAATAGAACCAGCCTGACTAGTGTTGAGGGAAAATTCAGGTAGATGCTGCAAATTATTTTCTGCATGTGTAAATGAAATGTATGTTTAATGAATATACACAGTTAGGCTGTTTTCTCAGGGTGCCAGTTAATGATGGCTTGTGTGTCAAACCACACAGTGGAGTAGACAAGTCTGAGGATTGCTGGGCCCCTATTATATATGATCCTTGTATGGTTACATTATGGACAAATAAATAATTTTCTTTTAAAAAAAATTGCAATGTCTTCACTTAATTCACATGCACAGTCTGTATTTACTAAAAAATCTCATCCTATTGATCATAAGTTAAAAGAAGGGCCTTTTTTGTTCTAATGTTTCTGTTGGTGGGATGCTGATTGGAAGGGAAACTAAAAACAGTTACTTTGTTCAAGGCATTTAATTTTGTTAGATATCACAGGCAAGTCTCTTAGCTGTCTAATTTCTATAGTTTTTCAGCCCTAAAAATTTTATGTATTTCTATCTTTACAGGATGACCACCTTGTTTTTTTTAAATTTAAAACAAAGGAGCTCCTTATGCATTGTAGCTATGATTTAAATGCTTTCATGAGTGGGGATTTAAAATCTGCTTTAATCAGTTAACTAGTTAAATGTTATCTTTAACTCGTTAACAGCTTAAATGAGGGTGGGTGGGGGCCAACAGCCAGTCTGGGCCAACAGTTAACCCTAACTAGTAAGCATCACCTGATGAACATTAACTGGTTAACCGCTCATATCCCCATTCATGGGTTTCCTGGAGCTGTCAGATTAGCTCATAATAGGTGTGTTGTTGTAGATGTGCCTTCAAGAAGCATGCTAAGAGGAAACACCCTTTAAAAACTGGGAAGTCAAAGGATTAAACAAAGCATTTATTTATATTGTTTAAAAGGCAAAAATAAAATGAATTAGAAGGCAGTCCTTAGACTTACTGACGCGATTGGTTCCTGAAAATTGTGTCAAGATAAAATGTCATAACTCGGAATCGCAATATATTCCATTGCAGGACCAAGTGTCATAAAGACAAAACTAAGGTAAGTCAAATAAGTGTATCAATTCAGAAATGTAAGTGCTGTTCATTGTAAGTCAAATCCTGAAGTCGAGGCAAGGATTGCCTGTATAGTCAAACTCCATTACAGCAAAACTAATTATTATATAGTGCTAGGAGAAAACATGTTGCAAAAGAAATTAGGAATTGACATTAGGACAACGTTGTTATAACTCATGAGGTAAATCTCTGTCCATCAGAAGAGAGAGAACAACATAGTCTGGCTTCATTCTGAACTTATTTATTTCTTTAGTCTTGTCGTCTTGATGAGACGTTCCCACTTAAGTATTGCATGACTCTCAGGCTTCTCAATGATTAGTGTAAAATTTAATTCTCTCTTGGACTTTGCCTTTGGTGTAGCTGGAAAAGGAATATTGTCACTTAGCTACATTAAAGGCCTTTTAACTCACACAAGTTGATCTCCTTGGGTTTCATTGTAGCCTTTAGCTTTGTGATAACTCATAACTCCTTTTGTCACCACTTGAATTCAAGTGGCTTAACTGCAACAAGGCAAGCATTTTAGGCCCATTTGTCATAGTTTCAACATAACATTTTAATCCTATGGCAAATTACAATAGAGAAAAGAATAACAAAACAGACAGCTCTTGATGCACCTAGGCTAGTCTTTAAACCTGTGGATTCAGTATACTGCATTATTTAGGCAGCATCTACACTACAAGCAATTGCTGTGGTTCCCTTGCTTGTGCATGAGTTCTTCTGACAGCTACCATAAGTATAAATAGCAGTGTAGCCAGGATTCAGCAGTACCAGCAATGGAGGTATGGCTGTTGATCTAGAAATATGTGGGACTTATACACACATTTCAGTCGATTAAGAAATAAACTTAAACCTAAGAGCAGCCTTTAATCAGTGCTCAAAAACATAAGCACCGCAATGGACTGTCAGATGGAATCCATCAGATATTAATCCAGGAAGAATAGTTAGGAAAGATGGGCTGCACCTAATGAAGGGAGTGAAGAGCAACTTTGTACTCAGGCTTGCTAACTTAGGCTATGTCTACACTCGCAGCTTCTTGCGTGAGTAATATGCAAATGAGGCTAAGTGTGGAATATTGCCAAGCCTCATTTGCATACCTAATGAGCCACCATTTTTTTTCAGAAGATGCTCTTGCACAAGAAGGAGCGTCTACACTGCCCCTTCTTGAACCCTCTTGCGCAATGCTGTTACACCTATTACTTGAGAGGAAGAACGGCATTGTGCAAAAGGGTTTTTCTTGCGCAAGAAAGGGCAGTGTAGATGCTCTTTCTTGTGCAAGAGCATCTTCTGAAAAAAATGGTGGCTCATTAGGTATGCAAATGAGGCTCGACGATATTCCACGCTTAGCCTCATTTGCATATTACTCGCACAAGAAGCCGCGAGTGTAGATATAGCCTTAGTGAGGAGGGCTTTAAACTAGGTTCACCAAGGGATGATGACCTAAACCCATAAGTGGGAAAGTAGAGTACTAGAAGGAAATATAAGGAGGAGAGGGGTACTTCCTGAGCCATATAGAGAACATAGGGCAATCAGCTAATTATCTTAAGTGCCTCTATAATCCACACACCTAGTGTGGTTCACTTTCCCATCAGTGGCACTTAAACCACAGCAACAGCTAAGAACAAGAGCTTTCTACAGCATGGGCTGAGATCCAGTTGGCTTTTAGCTCAAAGGGTAGAGGCTCCTATACTAAGCTCCAGAGGTCCCAAGTTTAAATCTGCCCAGTGGCGGTTACATCTCTACATGAGCACAAGAAGACTGAAATAAACAGAAAGAATTACAAGTCTGGCAGAGGCTTGGTGGGGTAATTCATGTGACTAGAGTACTGGATGAGTACAAACTGTTCAGGAAGAACAGGTCGGGGAAAAAAGATGGAGTTGCACTGTGTGTAAGAGGGCAGTATAATTGCTCAGAGCTCCAATATGTAACTTGGAATAAAGCCAGTTGAGAGTCTTTGGGTTAACATTAGAGGTGAGAGCAACAAGGGCGTTGTTGTGATGGACATCTGCTATAGACCTCCAGAGCAGGAGAATGAAACAGAGGAGGCTTTCTTTAGACAACTAATAGAAATTTCCAGATCACAAGCCTTGGCTGTCATGGAGGACTTTCAACATCCTGACATCTGCTAAGAGACCAATACAATGGTGCACGATAATCCAGGAAGTTTTAGAGCGTGACAGGGACAACTTCTTGGTGCAAAAGCTGAAGATGTCATATCTTTTTGTCTTTGCTACACACAAACAGGGAAGAATTGGTGGGGGAAGTAGAAGTAAATAGCATCCTGGGCATCAGTGACCATGAGATAGTTAAATTCAGGATCCTGACAAAAGGAAGAAAGAAGAGTTCCAGAATACAGACACTAGAATTCAGAAAAACAGACTTTGGCTCCCTCGGAGACTTGATGGGCAGCATCTCCTGGGAGGCTAATATGTGGAGGAAAGGAGTCCACGAAAGCTGGTGGTATTTAAAAAAGCCTTTTTGAGGGTGCATGAACAAACCATCAACGTGCAGAAAGAATAGCAAATGTGAGAGACAACCAGCTTGGCTTAGCAGAGAAATTTTCTGTGAGTTTAAATACAAAAAGGATGCTTATAACAAGTGGAAACTTGGACAGATGACTAGGGAGGAGTATAAAAATATTGCTTGAGCATGCAGGGTGTAATCAGGAAGGCCAAAGCACAACTGAGGTTGCAGCTAGCAAGGGTTGAGAGGGTAACAAGAAGGGTTTCTATAGGTATCATAGCAACAAGGTGGTCAGGGAAAGTGTAGGACACATACGAAGTGGGAAAGGCTACCTAACAATGTGGGAAAAGCTGAAGTATTCAATGGGTTATTTTTGTCTTTTTTTGTTTGTTTTTTTGCCTTTGCCTTCACAGACATCAGCTCCTAGACTGCTGCACTAAGCAGTATAATTTGGGAAGGAAGTGAGCAACCTTCAGTGAAAGAACCGGTAAAGGACTATTTACAAAAGCTGAACATGTGCAAGTACATGGGACTGGATCTGATGCATATGAGGGTCATAAGAGAGTTGGCTGATGTGATTGCAGAGCCATTGGCCATTATCTTTGAAAACTTGTGGTGATCAGGGAGGTCCCAGAAGAGTGGAAAAAGGCAAAAGTTAGTGATCATCTTTAAAACAGGGAAGAAGAACAATTCAATGAACCACTGACCTCAGTCCCTAGAAAAACTATGGAGCAGGCCCTCACAGAATCCATTTGAAGAAAGGGAGGTGATCAGGAATAGTTAACATGGATTCACTAAGGCTGTGTCTAGACTTCATCCCTTTTTCGTAAAAGAGATGCAAATTAGACATCACAATTGCAAATGAAGCGGGGATTTAAATCCCCCCCACTTCCTTAGCATAAAAATGGCTGCCGCTTTTTTCCGGCTTGGAGCTTTGCTGGAAAAAAGCGCCAGTCTAGACGCAGATCTTTCAGAAAATAAAGCCTTTACCGAAAGATCCCTTATCTCTCTTAAAATGAGGGATAAGGGATCTTTCAGAAAAGGCTTTATTTTCCAAAAGATCCGCGTCTAGACTGGCGCTTTTTTCCGGCAAAGGTCCGAGCTGGAAAAAAGCAGCAGCCATTTTTATGCTAATGAAGCGGGGG